AAGACCAACCCACTGCCATCTAGTTGATTCCAACACATAATGACCCTGTAGAGCAGTGGTTCTCAACCTTCCTCATGCCATAACCCTTCAGTTCCTCATGTGGTGGTGACCCCCAACCATAACATTATTTTCCTTGCTACTGCATCACTGTCATTTTGTGACTGATGAATCGGGCGACCCCTGTGAAAGGGTCATTCTACCCTTAAAGGGGTCTCGACCCACAGGTTGAGAACCGCTGCTGTATAGTTTCCAAGCGTATCTATCTTTGAGAGCAGATTGCCTCATCTTGCTCCTGTTGAACAGCTGGTGAGTTTGAAGCTTGTTTCACTGACCCTAAAGACACTCAGCAGCCCAATGCTTAGCCCACCACGCCACCAGGTCTCCTTTGTCACCCCTGTGATGCAGTGAATTCCTCGATAGGACTCAACAGCCATCGCCAGTCACTCTCAACAAATGACTTTTTCCTGATATATGTGGGTAGGTGCTGCAGGATGGTATGACTCAGTTGTGAGCGATTGTTAGCAGCGCTAATTGTGACGATAACAACGTGGACCTCTATCATGGTGCTTTGTTGATTTTTGCCATCCTACCATTTCAGAAGCAGAAGGGGGTGGGGTGGGAATCCCACTGGCATCAAGAAAGACAATCTGGATGTAGAGTGTGCCTTTTGGACTCTGAGCTCCTGTGGACAGAACCTCCTCACTGCAGGGGCAGAAAGCCGTGACAGCAAAGGAGTGGGGACGAGCAGCAGAGCCAGAGCACAAGATGAAGCGGGCGCGCTAGAGTAAAGTTGAGTGCTTCCGGGCAGGAGGCTCACGTGGAGTAGAGTGCCTCCAGACACTTACTTGGGGAGCTATGGTAGGTTTGCTGACTCACAGCAATAGCTGAGTGCCTTTGCACTGAGGCTGTGGTGGAGTGGCATGCCCTTTGGGCATTATCAGCAGTACCGAAAGAACTTTGTAAGACTGCCTGAGCAGGGCAGAGGGTAGGCCAAAGGCCAGAGAAAGGCTTACCTGTAGGCATGGCCAAGAGAGGCTGTCCTGAGCAAAAAGGGTATCCTGATTATGAATTGTAACCTGTTAATGCCCCTCCTGGCATCTTGATGGAGCTGTTGGGTAAGCATTGGATTGCTACTCACAAGATGGGTCTGTAAACCCACCACGAGGCTATCATTTCCTATAAAGATTTACAGCCTCAGACACCCTAAATAGGGTCACTATGGTAGTGACAGTGTCTGTGGGTTCTGTGTGGTCACCACAACGCGTTATCGAAGCCCAGCTGAGAAGTCAGGGCATGTCACGGAGGGGCAGTTGGTATCGGTGTTGGGGAAGAAGGTTGAGGGCAGGCATGTCTAAGCTCGCAATGAGTCACATTGGGATCTACCTTGGGCAGCTGCTGCTTCCCCTGCCCCTCCCCCCTGTGAAGTCAGAGCAGCTACGATGCCTGGCCACCGTGGCCCTGCTTTGAACAATTTTGTACTTGCATTGGAGGTTTTGAGGACCTATGACCTTAAAAAAGCTCTTTCAAAGTCATTGGGGATTTGAATTTATGCTTACTCACCTATCAGCGGGGGAGTGCTGGCTGAAGGCCTGGGAATGGAAGATCGTGATCATTGTCTTGAAAATACATGTGTGTTGGGCTTTGGCTTGGTAAACCGGGAGAGCCCACAAGTAAGGGTAATGACTAATCTGTCCTCGCTCCGCTCCACTGACTCTCTAGACTTTGAACATGAGAATCTACCCCCTGGGGGGGGGGGAAGAAGTCAATCTCTTATGTAAGAAGTATATCAACCACCCTCTGTCACCTTTAGTTTTATCTGTGAAAGAGGAGGAATCCTCCCTCACTGGGTCTGGAAACCCCAGGAGTAGGTCGAAGGAAATCAAACTACCTGCCTCGGTAGCCCCTGTCTGCACGCACCTAGGTTCTTGGAGGCCGCTGGAGTTCGCTGCACTGTGAAACCCTCCGTATTGCATCATGTGGCTCGTCTCCTCTTCCTGTTATGCAATGGGCTTCTCGGCATCAATTTTTCTTGTCTCTCTTTTCAGATCACAGACCTGTGCGGCGCAAAGCGTGTTGGCTATTTTGGGCCGACACAGTTTTACGTGGCCCTGAAATTAATTGCGGCGGCCCAGTCGGGCCTCCCGGTGCGGATGGAGAGCGTGGCGTGTGGTGAGTAGCTGACTGGGAATCGGAGGATGTTTGGGGGGCTGGGTTTGGCTCTTGAGTGGGCTTCCTACCTGCTCCTTCAGCTGGGGCGGGTTTGCTTCTTCCTTCCTCGCCTCCTCTGTCAAATGAAACGGGTGCTCGCTCGCTTTCTTTTCAAAAACTCTGCAGTGAGTGACCTGAGACTACTTCCTTTTCACTCACTTGCAGCTAAAGTACATTTCTTGCTCTAGCAGGAAGGGATTACGGCGGGAATTGTAGAGTGGTGGCAAAATAACATTCTCTTGTCGACCTTTGTAGGAGCCCTGGGGTGGTGTAGGCAGTACGAGTTGGCCTGTGAGCTTCAAGGTCAGCAGTTTGAAACCAGCAGCCGCTCTGTGGGAGACAGCTCTTCCTACTCTGTAAAGAGTTCGTCTTTGAACCCCCCGGGGTCAGTTCCACCTGCCCCATAGGGTCACTATGAGTTGGCATCGACTTGATTCATGCCAGCGAGTTTTATTATTTGTTTTTGAGTCTACTTTTTTACCCACTCTTTCCTGATGATGTCACCCTGTCTTGTGGCACGTCCACCTCCCCACATACTTCCATAATGGCCACAAGAGGCCACTGAGTCTCCCACGCTAGCACTTAAGGTAGTGGTTCTCAACCTTCCTAATGCCGTGACCCTTTCATACAGTGCTTCATGTGGTGGTAACCCCCCCAACCATGACATTATTTTTGTCGCTACTTCTTCACTGTCATTTTGCTACTGTGATGAATTGGGCGACCTCTGTGAAGAAAAGGTTGTTCGACTCCCAAAGGGGTCAGGACCCACAGGTTGAGAACTGCTGCCTTAAGGCTTCGGCCCTTGTGACCCACATGGGCGGTGGCTCACACTGCATTGGCCAGAGCTTGGCACATGGATCTGCTGAGCTGCAGGGCAGATTGGGGCAAATGTCACTCCCTGCTTTGTCTGGCAAACTGTTTGTAGGCAAACTGCGGCTCTTTGGGGGTGTACATGTGTCTCTGAAGTAAAATTAAATTTTAAAGGATAGTCCAGGTATTAGTGATTTCATTTGTTTGTGAAAATATATTGATGGCTCTCGAATAATTCTTAAAGTGTTGTGAGGGATAGGATTGGCTCTTCCATCTCAAAAGGTTGCCAACCCTTAGCCTAGATCTTAAAAGGTGTTGACTGTAACCATGGACCATTTACTGAACGGGAAACATCTGACCCCAAAGGCATCTGCTAATACTACTTGCTTGAGTTCACGGAACTGGTAGGTCAAGGAAATATTGTTGGTGCAGTTGGCTGGGTCTTCCTTGCTACAATAAGACGGGGGGAAACACTTAAAAAAGACAGTTGTCATGGAGAAAGAAGACACTGGCTTTGATTGACGCCACATCACGTTGAAACTCGGAATTGGCGTTAAGCACTAATAGTTGTCACTCATTAAGCTTGTAGCTTCTGCCGACTTTCCCTTCTAGAAAAGCTAGCGCTGCTTTGTTCTGTGCAAGCGTCTTTAAAAGGCAGATACTTTTATTGCTTACTGCGAGTTAGACTGAACTATTTCCCCAGATGTTTTGGTTGAGATCTCCATTTTCATAATTGCCAGGGGGGCAGGGAGAGAGTAGTGTGCAAACCAGCACTTTTGTAAAGGGGAACACTTTCTGCAGGTGAAAGGCTGAAGTGTAACTTCTGAGGGTTTATGTATGCCCAGAGCTAATTCTGAATTATCTGCCTTTATTTAGGATTTTCTTCTTTTTTAAAAAAATCATTTTATTGGGGGCTTTTACAACACTCGTTACAATCCACACATCAGTTGTATCCGACATATTAATAGATATGTTGCCATCGTTCTTTTCTAGACATTTACTTTCTATTGAGCCCTTGGGATCAGCTCCTCTCTTTTTTCCCCTCCAACCCCCTTGATGGCCCCTTGATAGATTGTACATTGTTATTATTTTCATATCTCACACCTACCGCTGTCTCCCTTCCCCTCTGGTTTCTGTTATTCTTCCCCCTGGATGGGGATGTGTGGTTACGTGCTGTTCATTGCGATGGGTACCTCCTCCCTCCCACCTCTCCCTCCTTCCCCCTACCCTTTTTGTTTTGCTATTCCCATTCCTGTTCCTGGGTTCCTATTTTAACATTTTCATAAACCATCTTTGGTCTACATCTGCTGAGTAAGAGTGAGGGCAAGTTTGTGCCACACTTTGAGCTGTTCCTGAGAGTGCTCTGAGCCCTGGTGGTGTAGTGGTTACTTGGGCTGCTTGGCGGGAGAAAGACAAGATGGGGGCTTTCTACTCTCATCAAGAGTTAACCTCTCGGAACCCACAGGGGCATTTCTACCCTGTCGTACAGGGTTGCTAAGAGTCGGCATCGACTGGATGGCAGTGAGCTTCGGTTTTTTCCAGTGCTCCAGATTGTTGCTAGCAATTCATTAGCTTAGTCTTTGACGCTGCACCCTGGCAGATCAGAGAGAATATTCATGGGTGACATTGTGCGACGCGTGAGCCTCTCCCCTCCGGCCTTTCCCATTCCAGTGAATGGTAGCATTGACGTTGGCACTCCAGCCAGAAACCTGTCCTGATGCCGTCTTTCCCCTTGTGTGTGTGTCTGGGTCTGGGTCTCCTTATCTTTCTCAGGTCCTAACAAGGCAGTACAATTGTCTGCACTTGAGAATCACTTGGAGGGAGCTTTAGAAAAAATGTAGGTGCTGCCCCCCCCCCCCACGTGATTCTGAACAAATTGCGTGGGAGGCAACCTGAACAGCATAACCTTGCCCAAGCTCCCCAGGGTTAAGAATGACTGCTTAGGAAGGCATTTTTCATGAGTTTTGCTTAAACTCTTGAGTATGTATTTGACCATCCCTGGAGAGAGGTGCCCCAGATGCCTAATTTAAGGGAGCACTGGATCTCTAGTGCTGACTGTGCATTCACATGACCCTGAGAATCGTGACTCTTTCAAGATTGCACACCAGTCACCCTTCTCGCGCTACCCTAGTCCGGAGGCTGGCTTCAGAAGAGGGGCAAACGGCCCAGGAGGGCCCACCTTTCAGCCTGAGGACACGTTGAGAATTGGTGACCAGGCCACCACCCACCACCTGGTCTGGGAACTCCGCTAGTTTCCGTCGTCTGCAGACTGGACGGGGAGGGCGGGTGAGGACTGGACTAGAGTACGCTTCCCACCTTTGTTTGGTCCATGAACCCCATTGACTGGCTGAGGGCTATGGGCCCATTTCTTAATATAATGTTTGAAATAGCACATAAATGTGTAGAATCACCAAGGGAAATCCATTCTATTTCACTAGTCATGAAAATATAGTTTAAAATGTGTTATATTTAAAAATACACATGAAACAAAGGATCTAGCAGTGATGTAAATAATGACCGTACTTTTCAGAGTTGTGGTGAGTCTAAGCAGTGTTCTAGAAGCTTTGTGACAATTGTTATATATGATAGGCAGGAAAAGAGCTGGTGTCTGGGTGTTTGTTATCTCCATAGTGAAAAGAAATGGAAAAGTTCAGCAAGGGTAGTAAAAAAATAAAGCTTTTTTTTTTTTTTTTAATCCAGAGGGATGGTGGGCCTCTTAGATGCCTTTCCATGACCCCTTTGGGTGTCTCTGAGCCCTGAGAGTGCAAAATCCTGCTTCTGGTAGCCGGAAAGGCAGTGTTCGCCAACCTAGCTCACTCTCTGGTGGCTGTGAAAGGAGAAAGAATTGGGACAAAAAAATTATTTTTAAAATGAAATGTGCTCAGGTCTAAGATGGTTCATTCAGTCTGCCTTTCATTTTGCTAACTGTCCTTTGATGACACTCAGAATGAGTAATCATTTGGGAAGAAGTGCTTTCTTTGGCAAAGCAAAATGTTGGAGACTTTAGTCCTCTTAGATTAAATTTGGAGAGGGGGGGGGTTGTCTTTTGACTATTCTAGGAAACTCTAAATTTTGTGAACTGATGCTGTTGTGACTCTCTCACCAGGCAGATCTGCCTAAGCAAAATGATTGAACTCCTTTTAGTGCCTCATGTGTCTGTAAGACAGTGGTTCTCAGGCCAGCTGATTTTGTCCCTCCAGAGACCATTGGCAATGTGTGGAGACATTTTTAGTTGTCGTGACTGGTGTGGGTGGGTGCTACTGGTATCCAGTGGGTTGAGAGGTGGTCAGGGATGCTGCTGAATTTCCTATTATATACAGGGTGGCCTCCCACACAAACAAAAAGAGATTCAATCTTGGCTGCCAATCATGCTAAAGTGGAGGACCTCCTTTGTAGGCTAAGGATTCAGGCAGTAAGGACTGGTAGAGATGCCAATCCTGCCTCCTCACTTTTTGTTCCTAGGTTTCTAGAGGGAAAGGTCAGAGGATTTCGTAGACATGCGGTCTGCTCCTGTGTAGGTAGACTTATTTAGCTTTCACAGGCGTAATGCTTTCCAAAGAAGAATTCTTTTAGCAAAAGCAAATAAAAATATTTTCTGGATGAATTGAGAATCGAGGCTCTTGTGCCCTGCTCACATGGCAAACCTTCCCATCTTGTAGGTCTAAGAGGGGGAAAGCCTTTGGGTGGGTATAACAATTAGTTTAGTGGTTCATAGAGAAGGCTATTTTTTCTATCTTTAAAAAAAATCATTTTATTGGGGGCTTTATGCAGCTCTTATCACAATCCTTACATGCATCCATTGTGTCAAACACATTTGTACATTTGTTGCCATCATCATTCTCAAAACATTTGCTTTCTACTTGAGCCCTTGGCATCAGCTCCTCATTTACCCCTCCCTCCCTGACCATTGATAATTTATAAATTATTATTTTGTCATGTCTTGCCTGACCGATGTCTCCCTTCACCCACTTTTCTGTTGTCCGTTCCCCAGGGAGGGGGTTATATGTAGATCATTGTGACCGGGTCCCTCTTTTTCCCCCACCTTCCCCTTCCCCTCCTGGTATCACTGCTCTCACTATTGGTCCTGAGGGGTTTATCTGTCCTGGATTTCCTGTGTTTCCAGTTCTTATCTGTACCAGTGTACATTCTTT